CGTATCTTCGTGTCTTCGTGTCTTCGCGTGTCTTCGTGTCTTCGCGTCTTCGTGTCTTCGTGTCTTCATATCTTCGTGTCTTCGTGTCTTCATATCTTCGCGTCTTCGTGTCTTTGTCTTCGTGTCTTCATATCTTCGCGTCTTCGTGTGTCTTCGTGTCTTCGCGTGTCTTCGGGTCTTCGTGTCTTCGTGTCTTCGCGTGTCTTCGTGTCTTCGTGTCTTCGCGTGTCTTCGTGTCTTCGCGCAAAAGTCACAACCCGCTTCTGCCAACGCAATGGGCAACCAAGTGGGGAGAAGCACATTTCGAAGCGCACAGAATAAAGGATGTCGTTCCAGCATGTTGCCCCGGTGAAATATATGATGCTACCTTCCAATCTTCACGTGTCAAACTAAAAATGTTGCTCCAGCATGTGTATGGCCCGATCAAAACAATATGATGTTGATGATGTTGCGCATGTAAGCATATGCGTACAAAATATGCATGCAACCAGTGACGTGATGTTGCCCATATCAATCTGCTCGTACCAAAATGCGCGCGTGAACTGTACTGCGCGCAAACAGTACAGTTCTCAGGTTTCACAGGCACCAGGCACGATGCGCAAGCGTTAAAACGTATCAAGAACAAGGCATGCCAGGTTATTCGAAACACAACCACCAGCACCAGTACCCAGCACCGACACCTATATTCAAAGTGCCCCCAGCCAGCTCACAGCAACGGCACAAGCACCCAGCACCAGCACCGGCACCTGTCTCAAGTCTGCACAGCACAAACCCTGTCTCCAGCCGACACCAGCGCCACCACCACACCATATCCCACCAGGTGATACCAGCGCCGGGGCCAGCCCCAACACAGCACCGAGACAGCTCACCAGCACCAGCGCCCACACCGGCAGCGTCTCGAAAGCCGGCACGAGCAGCAGCCCAGAGCTATCGCTATTGGGGGAAAAATGAAATCGTACCGTATAAGTTTATTATGACACTTTGCTTCATGTGATGAGACATGCTGATCATAGTCACCCCACCTCTATGAGAGGGAGGCCAGGACCAAGGCCTGAGGAGAATTGATTTACGACTGCATCCGCTGTAGGAAAATACTAGCAGTTTCATGAATCTTCAATTGAGAAAAACAATTTCTCTTCACATCCTGGTATTCTGAGTTGTCGAACTTCTTGGCCAGCGTTCTGTCCTGGCTGAGACATCTTGTCGCGAGCACACTCTTCACAGCAAGAAATTTCTGATGCCTCTTCTCTGGAAGCTCTTCATCGAGACCAAATTGCAGCTCCTGGACTTGACACGATGCCTCTTCTCTACGTAGAAGAAAAGTCACCAAAATCAAATGGATGTGAGGCCATCATATGCTCCGCAACGACGCTTCTTACCCTTCTGGCCGAAAATGGAGACAAAAAGTAAATTCAGTCCGTAAAAACATTCAGTGTTCGGTTGAAGCTGGCAGCTTCTTTCACAAGGTCCACATGGTGATGTCCGGGCTTGGAGGGTCACGGGTTCTTGAATTCCTTGTCCGGCTGTGGTAGTGGGTGACCACTCTCCAAAAATTGCTTAAATTGTTTCACTATGTTTCACTAATGTTTATGGTAACTGGCACTGGCTGCCTTCCTCACTTTTCTGGCAAGCTGTTTGGCTTTAGCTAAGGCAGAGTACCCTTTGGGGTTCCTTACAAAACTAACAGCTTAGCAGTGTCTAATTTGACAAAAGGAATCATACCTCCTGTTGTCAGGTTTAATTACACACATCGAACTCCAAATCTATAGAAAGTGAAGCATCCCCTGCAAAAGCAAAGAACTAGGGTTTCAAGGAATCGTATGTATGGAATAGTTACTTCCAAAATCACACATTGATCAAGCGCACCACTGGTCAACAAATCCAAGAGATGCTGTATGTACGCTGTAAATTGTGGCCCGGTCCTTCGTGGCTATCAAAGGGATCTCTTCAAGAGGCTGCCTCTACCAATGGCGGATCACAAGGATTGCGCTTTGGTGGAAAAAGTACTAAGCAGCTGCCTAAATAGGCTGGGCTGCCTATAGAAGTCCCTCCATTTCGCTGCCCTACATTTCGAGGCGACTTTGGCACTAAGGCTCCAGCCCTGGTGGTGCGGCACCTCTGGAGGCTTTGAAGACCCTGGCTGTCGATGATGGATTTTCTGGCTCGTCAACAAGTCAAAGTCAAAAATAATAGCAGTCTGAAGAGATCGCATTGAGAAACTTGGGATTGCGCACTGGTTGTATTTGCGTGGCTGTTGAGGTTGTAGGGGTGGTTGTGGCCAACCACATATGTGAACTAGGACGAGTCAATGGTTCAAGGGGACCAGGATGTCAATGGTTCAATGCGAGAGGAATGTTCACATTCATACAAAACGTCCTAATTAAAAGCTCCTCTCGGTCTCCCTGGAAAGGCAGCTAGCCATTGGCTCCTTTTAACAATGTGCTAACTTGGCAGGATCACACTGGGCCCTCCTGTAGCTTGCAGTAAGCAAGTAGAGCCTGGCAAAAAGTTACACCTCAGTCACATCCACCGCAAACTTGCTCTGCCTGCTCGTAGTTGAGCAGCTGCACCCCTGCAATCAGCCATCAAGCTGGCATAGAGACGATATGGTGATGGACAAGCATAAACTTGGTCTCATCCAGCGAGCTGACGAGCTTGGTGATTAGTGCGTGGTAAGAACCAACGGTTGACCCTGAAATGTTTAGATCTTCGCTTTGACAGTTCGATATGCAAACAACAACTTGCCCTGTTCCAGACCTCCTTGTGCCACGTCTGTCCACAATGACCGAGCCTGAAAACTCTGACACTGCAAGTTGCCCCTCGGCATTTTTAGCACCTCTCTTGTTTCTCTGCTTCTTTCAAGAAGGAGAACCTTTGCAAAGGCTTACCCCAAAAAGCATGCATTAGGCATGTGATACACAGGTCTGGTGTCTACTGGCTCTTCAGTAAGTCGCGACATGCCTGCGCTGGTGTCAGCGTGATGCCCAGTTCCAAAAGAAGGGGCCTGAGTTCAGCTTGTTCAATGCTTTCTATCATTGCCCTAGCTTCGCCCTGACAGCGCTCCTGAAGTCCCTCTCTTTCAATGCACCGCTGCCCGCACCTAAGGTAAGGTCAATCACTGAGCAATTTTGCGAGTCCATTCTGTTGTGTTCGACCTGGGACCCATCTTTTCCTATTGGTGTTTCTGAAGTTCAAGCCTTTGGCGTCTGGGCGGTCTTTTCGGTGCAAATTGCAGTGAAGTCTTGGTTCCCTTGGCTCCCAGCTCCACGCCGCAAAGCTGCTTTGAAACTTGTCCAGCTCCGCACTGATGGGCAGAAGCACGTGAGACTGAAGATGTAAATGTACTCAAAAAGCTGTGAAAGAAATCCACCGCACACAAAAGTAGAGTATATATATTCTCCATTATTCTCCAATGAAAACCCTGCACCTGGTGGGATGCCAGCAGTCGCTGAGGTTTGCTTTTACCTTGCAAAAAGTCTCACTCATGCATTCATTGCTTGTGGGTTGCTTATAAATATATGTAAGTCTTCTGCAAAGAATTGCAATTTCACAACGACATTCGTTGCGATATGTGCCTTGTTCACCAGACCCCTCTCTGCCGTGCTGACTGCGTAAAACTCGGCATACACCTCAAAACCGCTTGCTGAACTCAAAATGTATCGATGAAAACAGTGAGTGGATAATGAGAAGTTTAACCTCAAATTAATATAGAGACGGCTTGTGATAACAGCATCACATCTTCTTCGAGCCTCATCGTTCCAAAAGTAAGTCATGCTGCGTGTTTCGCAGGGAAGTGCTGTGCAAGTATTGCTGTACAATAGGAGTTCTGCTGTGTTGCTCCAAGGTCAAAAGGAACCGTTTGTGTTCTGCCCACAGTCTGAACAAGTGCTTCGCGGTGCGACTAGTAGCTTCTTGCTACCAGTAGTAACATTATTCATAGCGATGGCCTCAAACCTACTAGCGATGGCCTCCAACCTACTAGCAATGGCCTCCTACCTAAGAGCGACGGCCTCCAACCTAGTAGCTTCTTGCTGCTACCAGTAGTATCATTATGAGTTATGAACGCGATTGTTTCAACTTGCAAGGACAAGTGGTGTGTCAGTACGGTGTGAGTGTCTCTGTACTTGGACTACACCCCCAGCAAGCTGGCCAGTTCACCTGCTTTGAGCCATGTTTTTGCGGCATGGCATTATATAGAGTTTACTAGTGGCACATACACAACAAAACAAAGCGCTCTTGACACAGAACGAACAAACCAACACCCTGCCACCGAAGCCGCCCAAAAATACGCAGGCTGGCCTGCATTGCCTGCATAGAGTCATAGAACCTCACACTCATCCAGTCATTGACACAAACACCTCAAAAGATTCAGTGTTCTTTTGTTCGGTGCTGAGGGCTACTTGCTGGCGGTGTAGCGTAGTTCGAAACTGACCCTTCGGTCAATTGAAACTTTACATGAGTAAAAGGGACCGTGCGGTATAGTAACATGTGCATCTACAACCACAACTAGATTGACTTTTTGTGTCTTTCAGCTGTATGCATGTGTACCTCAGATGAAACATATCACGAACTAAGTCTGAGTTCGGCACGATGTCTCCCCATCTAATGATTCATTAGAAGAAGATGCAACAACCTTGCATTGTGATGGTTGACATCCACCAGGAATATTGCGGTTGCACATCTGATTATCTTGCCCCTTTAAGTCATGCTCAGTATAACTAGATCCAAAACTGTTGTATATAAGGTGGTGGCTTGCGCAGATCCGTTGCAGTTGAACTGTCTGCTTCAACTTGCATTTTGAAATCATTGACTCAGTGTCCAGCTTCTCGAATCTCCACGTCTCGTTGTGGACATTGGAAGACCTGGCAGAACGGCACACAAGAAGATATGTGTGACCATCTTTGTGGATCACGGCACCCTTGCTGAATGATTCTGAATGTATTGTTGTTTGCTGTAGGCCAATCGGCACAACGTATCTATGTTTGGAGGAAACCAATTGCAGTCTGTTTGTTGCTTGCTGTAGTCTGCTTGTTCCGAGGATACTCGAAACTAATTACAGTAAAGGCCCTGACTGCTGGCATACTTTCCCAATGCTTATGATTCTGCGGTCGCAAAGAGAAACTCGTCAATACATGTCAATAAAGTTCGGTAGATGAACCTGTTTGACAAAAGGATGCGCAAAGTTGGTAGATGAGTCGATGAGTAGATGAACTCGCACGCATGAGTTGCAGCAGGTGCTTTTGCTATGAGAAAAACAAGGGGCCGCGAGGACAAGTGGCCATCGATCAGAGTCAAATTGGACATTAGCGACATTGCATTGGAGAGGCAAACTTTCACAAGCAATGTCGAGCAAAGCAAGCGAGTGTGGATCGTGATATGCCTGTCTACTTTGACCTTTGGACGTGCCATGTACTAGCACGGAAGAACTGGAATGTTTACCCTGAAAGGAAATTACACCACCGTAGACCCCAAACAGTTTGTGTTTTTCAAAATCGAAACTAGAGCTTGCGACGTCCAGAGCTGGGAGACAAAGGATTGCAAGGCAGAGGCGGCCACAGCAGCCCAGAGCTGGGAGACAAGTGTAAAGGATTGCAAGGCAGGGGCGGACACAGCAGTACAGAGCGGGCGGACACATCTCAAGAAAGAATTGAGAAACCCTAACAGTAATCCTTTTGGGGTATTCTTCTTCAATTGCGAACATGATGCTGGTCATGTTGCTCAATCAGCGGGGAGCTGACCACGTGAGGACAAGAAATAAAAGCATGAGGAGCGAAGGATGTGACATGAAATTGATTTTTGGCGCCTGGGGAGAGAGTTACACTGTGGCAGGAACGCAATCCCGGAGACAGTCACGCACCCTTTTCAAAGGAGCAAGAACCTTTCACAGGTGAGCCTGTTCCAGCGGACAGGGCAGAAAACAGCAGAGCAGGCACCAAACCTGAAAAACAAAAAGAAAGAAATCACATGGGAGACAAATGAATAGAAATGCTACATGGCCAGCGGAAAAGGGCGGCAGCACCAGTGACAGACCCGGGAAACAAATGAATAGAAATGCTGCATGGCCAGCGGAAAAGGGCGGACACCAGCAGTGACAGACCTGGAAAAATGAAAAGAAATGTTGCATCGCCAGCGGAAAAGGGCGGACACCAACAGTGACAGACCTGGGAGACTAATGAATAGAAATGCTGCATGGCCGACGGAAAAGGGCGGACACCAGCAGTGACAGACCTGGGAGACAAATGAA